AATTATTTATTATGTATGCAGTGTTCTGCCTGCACAAATGCCTGCAGGCCAGAAGAGGGCACAAGATCGCCTTCCAGATGGTTGTGAGGGAATTGATCTGAGCGCCATGGAAGAGCAGCCAGTGCTCTAAACCCACGGTGAGCCATCTCTCCAGCCCCTCAGACTCCAGGCTCTTAACTGGAGAAGGACCACAAGAAAAGATGTGGGTCTTCATTTCTTTGTCCCGAATAGACTTGTATCCACATTGCTTTCTGTTAAGAATGAAGATAATTTACTTTGCACAAAATGCTTAAAACAAAGGTTCTCAGTTGGTAATTCTTAGGTCCAACATGGCCTCCCAGAATGGCAGTGTCGGTGACAATAGCCTAAACAGAAGGACTTTGGCCCGGGTAAACAGGATTGTCACTGGGTAAACAGACACAAAAGCAGGTTTGTTGGCCTTAAACTGCCAAAAGCCTCCCTTAATCCACCCCAAAGGTCAACTACCTCAGGCAAAGGCATCTAGTTCCCAATTATTCCAAACAGCTTGTTGAAGCTTTAATCTAATTAATTTGTTTCTTTCCTGCATCCAGAAGGGGCAAGAGCCTGTCTCTGCCCTGCCTTATCACTTTCTCTCTGGGAATTAAAGGTCTGAGTCACCACCGCCTGGCCTCCAAGGTTAACTAGTGGCTGGCTCCACCCTCCCATCTCCAGGCAAGCCTGATTTGTCAGAGCACAAAACATCACCCAACAGTTTGTACCGTCTGAGAGACCCCACCCTGCTAACAATCATAAAGTCTGCTTTTCCACCATTTTGCTCTCCCCTCTGTCCACCTGGCAAGAGATAGTCTTATAGTTTGATCCCGAATAAACCTCTCTACCCACGGAGTGATTCAGTGTGGCGGTTTCCCTGTATCCTTGATTCCAGTAGTGGGCACTAATGACATTGTTAACATTAATGACATCAGAATTGTATTACTAACTTTTCTTGTTGCTCTGAGAAATGCCCAACAGAAGCAATTCAAGTGAAGGTGGAGTTCTTTTGGTGAAGAGGGCACAGGGAAGTCAGTTGTGACATACAAAGCCTTAATCCTTAGCACTCTGGAGGCTAAGGCAGAGGGACCCCTGAGTTTGAGGCCAGTCTGATTTACATAGTGAATTCAAGGACAGCCAGGGCTACACAGAACTACATCTCACAAACCAAAATCAAACAGTGCCCAGAAGTGGTGTGGTGAAGGGCTGGCAGTGAGGGTGGCGGCCATTGACCACACTGCGGCAATGGTCAAGCAGCAGTTAGCTGCCCCTGCTCTGCTCACTGGTCTAGTCCTGGTACCCCGGGCCACTGGACATACTGCTGACATTCGGAAGTGGGCTTCCTCCTCAGTTAGGAATCTCCCTGACGAATCATGGTGTCTCCTAGCTTGTTTGAATTCCAGTCAGCTTGACAATAAAGACTAACCACCAGCCATAAGTATCATTGTAAATCTTGATTATGACTGTCATGAAAAAAAGAAAGATACCAAAACAGTTTGTGGATAATTTGAAGTATATGACCAGTTTGTGCTCTAGACACGTCTGTGGTCCTGAGTGCTCTGCAACTGACTTTCCCTACGCTCATTTGGTTTCCCAGGGCTTCGAGAGGAAAAGACTGTTTCATTCCTGCTGAGATAGAAACTGTGCCTCTGCAGCCCAGGAGCCAGGGGCTTGTGTTTTGCTCTTCCTTTGTACTGATTTATTGTTGTTTTTTACTCTTTGACTTTTTTGGCCTTTGGGGGGAGGGGGCACCACCTAACTCCCAAGTAAATCACACACGGAGACTTAGTCTTACTTATTTGTTATGGTTTAAGTAAAAACGCTGCAGGTCCCCTAGTGGCAGCAGTGGGCAGCGGGCCATGAGACCACCCCACAGGTCCCCCAAGTGGCTAGGTGCTTGATGCTGTCCTGGCAGCATGTGGGGACTAAAGCAGCCATCATGCAAGGTAGCCACTACTACTTCTTGTGTTGTTTTGTGTTTTTGTTTCGAGACAGGGTTTCTCTGTAGCTTTGGAGCCTGTCCTGGAACTAGCTCCTGTAGACCAGGCTGGCCTTGAACTCACAGAGATCCGCCTGCCCCTGCCTCCGAGTGCTGGGATTAAAGGTGTGTGCCATCACCTGGCTGCCACTACTTCTTAATGCAAGCTTACACAGTTTAAGGAACCAGAAATTCTGTTTCTGGATGGTTATCCTAAAGAAACTCTCATGCAGGTTTATCAGAAGACACAATAAAGGTGCTGAGATGCTGGATAGAGTGATCCTGCCAAGAGAAAGGACACAGAACATTCACCCTGCCTTCCATCTGAGCCGTTCTGTAAGCTGGGAGGCCCAGGTGCTGGCAGACTTGGGTCTGGGGAGGGCCTTTCTCAGAGGTGGTCCTTTAAATGCGTACTGGACATGGTGGGAGGGGGAAAAGTTGATTTGCTAATCCCATTGGCAAGGGCTCTGCTCTCATGACCTAATTGTCTCCTGTGCTGTCTAGGTTTTGTGCCAACTTGACACAAGCTAGGGCCATCTGGGAAGAAGGAATCTTAATCGAGAAAATGCTTCCATCGTCTTGGCCTGTAGGCAAGTCTGTAGCGTGTTTTCTTAATTACTGATTTATTTGGAGGACCCAATCAGTAGTAGGTAATGCCATCCCTGGGCAGGTGGTCCGGGTTATAAGAATGCAGGCTGAAAAATCCTTGGGAAGGCAGCCAGTAAGTTTTCATGGCTTTTGCTTAAGTTCCTGCCTCCAGATACCTGTCCGATTTGAATTCCTGCCCTGATTTTCCTGGATAAAAACAAACAACAACAGTTCCAGGCCAAAAGTAGTTGTAATCCCAGTTCTCTGGAAACCAAAGCAGGAGGATTACAAACTCAAGACAAGCTGGACCACACCGGCAAGCTGGACCACACCGGCAAGCTGGACCACACCGGCAAGCTGGTCCACCTTATGGAGGGAGTAGGAAACTGGTGGTATGAGATCAACATTAAAAACAATGTTTTAATTTTAAAAATTCTTTTTATATAATTTTAAAGTATAAACTGGGTGGTGGCGCATGCCTTTAATCCCAGCACTTGGGAGGTAGAGGCAGGAGGATCTCTGTGAATTTGAGGTCAGCCTGGTCTACAGAGCTTGTTCCAGGACAGCCAGAGCTTTTAGGTATAGAAACCCTGTCTGGAAAACAAATACAATAACAGCAAAAAGAATTATAAGTGAAAGAGGTTGTGAATGGAACCGGAAGGAAGTCCTGAGGCAGGAGGCCCATTCTCAGGCTTCGGGACGATAGCGGATTGGGCGGGAGAGGGGAAAACAGCCACAGAACCTCTTCACTCTAAAGCATGTAGAAACTCGTAGCATGAGGGGAGGGGAGGAAAGCGGCTTGGGTTCGTTAGAGTTCCTATTGCTGTGATGAAACACCATGATCAAAAGTATCTTGGGGAGGAGAGGGTTTGTTGTACGTATTACTTCCATGTTAATCACTGAAAGCAATTAAGGTAGAAACTCAACAGGGCAGGGACCTAGAGACAGGAGTGGATGCAGAGGCCATGGAGGAGTGCTGCTTTCTGGGTTACTCATGTCTTTTTTTCATTTATTTTTATTTATTTATTTTTGAAGATGGGTTTTTCTGCGTTTCATCCCTATCTGTCCTTGAACTCAGAGATCTGCCCGCCTCTGCCTCCCAAGTGCTGGAATTAAAGGCGTGTGCCACTTCTGCCTGGCTCAACCTTATTTCTAACAGAACCCAAGACTACCAGCCTGGGGGAGATCCCGCCCACAATGGGCTGTGCTCTCTCCATCAATCACTAATTAAGGAAAAGCCCTGCAGGGTTGCCCACAGCACAATCTTATGGAGGCATTTTCTCTTGAGGTTCCTTCCTATCCGATGACTAAAGTGTGTATTAAGTTAAAATAAAACTAGCTAGCACAGTGATGTTGAGGTAAAAACTAAACAAAGCTGACTGCACCTATGGCCTTCGATAGCTTCAGGGCCTGGAAGAGGAGCTGCAGGTGAACTCACAGCAATGCTGGGGCCATTTTCCATGGCTGCTGTCCTCAGGCAGCAAATAATCTATCATTTTGTGAAGAAATCCATTCATGCATATTGTAAGAAATTAAAAAAAATTTCAGAAAAAGTCAAGGAAGAAAAATACCAATACTTACAAAGTGTTGTTAAATTTTTCTGACTATTCCTAGCAATTCTCCGTATATTCATACAAATGAGCGCGGTTAGTCGCAGTCTGTCTGAATGTCAGCGCGGGTCTTTTGGCTCAAGTAGAAAGAAATAAATAACATCTATATTAACAGCTCCAATGGAGTGGAGGCTTTCAAAGGAAGGGTAGAAGGAAAACAGTGAAAGCAGTGAAAGGTGACACTCCAGAGTCAGCGGCACAGTGCCAGGCCCGGACAGCTGGGGTTACTTGGGAGACCCTCTCTCAAAAGGCAAAAGATAAACTATGGTGTAAAGGCTGGATCTTGGAAAATTTGGGGAAGAAAAAGAGTCTTACTCATTGATTATAAAATTCAATACTGCACTACTAAATGCACAAAGCAGTAATACTTAATGAAATAAGTCCGTACCCTTTTCATTTCTATGGCCTCGATGGTTGCTTGAGGGTTAAAGCAACTGGGTCTTTTTTCCACCTGTATCTTTTACTTAACATTAGGATTCGGGTCTGCTTTCTTTTCCATCAAATAAACCAAAATCTAATATTATGGCAAGCAGGGTGCCACTTATTTCCTCTAAAGGAAATCTGGAGGTGGGATTCTAATTTATTGATAGACAACTGGCCGGAATGCCCGGCCTGTGGTGCCCAGCGCCATCACCATAACATCCAAAACATCTGTCACCTGGGTCCGTGGTTGTTAAATGTGGGTTAGAACCACCTGGAGAACTTGGCATTGTGCCACAAATTGCTGGGCCAAACACCCAGAGTTTCCAGTTCAGTTGGTCTGCAGTGAGGCTCAGGTGATCCACACTGAGACCTGGAATTCCCACTTTCAGAACCACCGACTTCACCAGAGAAAGGTTTCCTGCTTCCTTTAGCGGCTGAGTTAAACTGAGGGCGAGGCTTTGAAGGAGAGCCCATTTCTTCCTCTGCACAAATGGTCACACCTGCTGTCCTTGCTATCCCCGCTCCCGCCCCCAGCCCTCTGGTTTACTGAATTTCTATTATGAAGGAAGGCATTCTGGATTTGCCAAAGACTGACATAGACAGTACCCCTACCACCAAGCTTCCCCAATTTCCCCAAACATAGTAATTTCTGTAGTTTTGAGTTTCTGAAAATCATCTACATTCCTCATTCTATTCAATATGGGCCGCCTTGAACTGTTAGTCGCGCGCGCGCGCGCGCGCGCGCGTGTGTGTGTGTGTGTGTGTGTGTAGGGCACACACATTAGTTACCTAAAATGTATTTTCTTTAAAGTGACCATTACAGGTGGATCAATACAAACACATGGCTAAGATGATCCTTACAGCACTCCTGAGGTGTAGTATACACTAAAATCCAGCTTCTTGAATTGGAAGTTCAATTCTTATGTAGGATCATGTAACTGAATATGGAGATTGTATAATATTCCAAAGTAAAAGAATCAATGCACCATTAAAATAAAAATAAAACTCACAGCCTATAACATGCTCAACCCAAATCTGGACTGTAGGGAAAGAGAAGTGGAGAGGCCCAACATTAGCACAGCCTTGGCATTCTGCAAACTAACAATCCTGGAACTAGACCTCAACATTACAATAACCAGGAAAAGCCACAGACTGTACCCCGCTGGAGACCAATCAGAGTTGAGACAATTAAGGACAGTTTACCTAACTTCTACATAAGCTGCCAGTTTCCTTGCAGCAACGCCAGTACCAATCCCTGTTTGACAAGACTTTCGTTACTTCACTCCTGCCCAACCAGGAGTTCAACCCCCATCTGAACCGGAATTCCCTCCCTCTCCCCCCACTCCACCCCTTCCTCCTTAAAAGCCCTGCGCCTGCTATAGCTGAGCTCAAGGCCCCCCCTGGTCTAGCTGTGCTGGAGCGGAGCAGATAGCCTGAGCTTGAGCCTGTAGTAAAGGATTTTTGCTGTCTGCATGTTGTAGCATGAATAATAAGAACCCAGAGATAGATATTGGGATTCAACCTGAAAACCAGAAAAGCAAAGCAGCCAAGTCACTACAGAAGTCTTGCCTCTACCAAGGTTGGGCTACTATAAACCAAGTCTCTCCTCTCATTTTATATTCCCTCTAGTGCTGGGATTAAGGGCGTATGACTCCCTAGGCCTGGGTTAAAAGTGAGCCACCACCACCTGGGTTTGTTTCTGTGTTGACCTTGTGTAGCCTTGAATTTACAGAGATCTGTCTCTGTCTCCCAAATCCTGGGATTGAAAATGTGTGTCACGAATACCTGACCTCTAGTGGCTTTAGCTTTGCCTCTGGTCTTCAGGCAAGATTTATTAAACTACAAATAATATACCACTGTATTAAGTGAACTCGGAGTCCTGGTGGTCTCTGGGGGGCTCATGACGCGGGCATAACAGAAACGTAGAGAATAGTTTACGGCATTCTTGGCCGTACTGAGAATTTGTTTTTGCCTTATCAAAATTAAACTGCTCCCTCTGTACTGATGGGTGGTGGACATGTTCTGACAAATCTTCCTAAACAGGTCTCAACATACCACACACCTGAGCGGCTGCCACTAGGTTATATTATAGTTCATAGTTCTCCTTCGCCTAGGTCTCTTGTCCATGGCTTTCTTTGTGGCAAGGTCCCGTGCAGGTTTCCCTCAAACCTGTGTACAAAGTCGGTGGTGGTGCACACCTTTATATCAGAACTCAGGAAGCAGACAGGTGGATCTGTGAACTCAAGGCCAGCCTGGTCCACAGGAAGATTCCCAGAAGTGCCAAGGCTACATAGAAACCCTGTGTCTAAAAAACAAAGCAAAAGAAAATACAAAACAAAAACCAGAAATTGCCTCTGCATCAGCCCCTGACTTAGAAGTTCCTGCCATAACTGCTTTACAAGAAAAAGTGGACAAGTGGACCTTGCTTAACTAATTGAGACTATAGTCCTCACACTTGTTATACTTGCAAAGCTGCTAACTCTACTGAAAATCCACTATTTTCTATCATTACCTAAACCGAGGGCCCTTTTCTAAGGCAGTTCTGGCGACACAGACCTCTAAAAATTCCTAACCTCTTACCTGCAGCCACCTCATCCTGTCGCTGCAGACTAAACAGCTGCCTGTATGCAGGCCCTGCTCTGGATGTTAACCGCTAATGGAAATCAAACTTCGACGGCATTAAAGCCCGACTCCAAACCCAGTGACTCCATTTTGAAGAGTCTTTTCCCCTACCGAGTCTAGACCTACGAACGTAATTTGGTTACAATAGTCAAGTGTGTTAGCTCTCCCGATGAGGCTGTGGTTGGCCCTAAAAAGGGCCGTTGGGGATGGGTAACGAGGTAGTGGCGGTGCAGTTTAGCCTCCAAAGCCATACAGGGTGCGGCCCTGGCGCTTGAGCGCGTAGACCACATCCATGGCGGTGACGGTCTTGCGCTTAGCGTGCTCTGTGTAGGTGACGGCGTCCCGGATCACGTTCTCCAGGAACACCTTCAGCACACCGCGGGTCTCCTCGTAGATGAGGCCGGAGATGCGCTTGACACCACCGCGTCGGGCCAGGCGGCGGATAGCAGGCTTGGTGATGCCCTGGATGTTGTCTCGAAGAACCTTGCGATGGCGCTTGGCACCACCCTTGCCTAGACCCTTTCCACCCTTTCCTCTACCAGACATGGCGACTACAGTCTCGAGACACTAGCTTGTGAAGCAGTGGAGGTGGAGGCCCTCTAATATATGAGAAGATCGGACCAGATTGAAAACCGAAAGCGCGCGGGCGGGAACCTTTCTAAATAGTCCCGGCTCTGGCTATTGCGTCATTTTCCTGTTTTTTCTTCTCTCTTCTCTGCCCTCTACCGGTCCCTCATAGAGCCGTGCCTTTTTTAATTTTTCTTTTTAATTTTTCCTAAATTGTAATGCCGTAGACCTTGGGATAATTCAGAATCTTAAATAAAACTTAAGAGATATCGCAGTCCTTTACGGCTCTGTTTCTTCTAGTTTGTGGGCTTCTGAACCACACGGGCGCTAAACGAATAAAAGACTGGAGGAAAAACGGAATTCAGAGATGCGAAGGGGAGAGAACTGCATCGAAGGACCCAGAGCTGCATTTAGATAAAACCACTGCAAAAGAAGTTCCAGTAGTGAGGGTACCATAACCGGAAGCTGCGGAGCCAGGAATATGGAAGGGGAGGTTCTGAATAGTCACTGTTTTGTTGATATAGACCGTTCTCAGCTCACGCGGAAACTAGGTCCTAGGAAAATCCGTCTAAGGATGCTGCGGAGCTTTCTCGCCGCGGTCAGTGGGTCCGCACGCACCTCTCCCCAAAGACCTGCTGGCTACCGGAGTCTAGGAGAGTCGCGACGTTCGTTTGCGCCAGTCCTTTGAGGTCTGCGCGTGTTTCCCGCGGGGAATGGTTCCCAGACTTGGCCCTCCTGCAGCTGGCTAAATTCACTTTTGCCAGCGTGTATCTGCTTCACAGAGTTACGCCGTAGGGAATGAGCTGGAGTCTGGACTGTTGGCGTGTTCGTCGTTCCCAAGGCCCTCCATGAAGAATCATAAGAAAATATTCTGCATCAGAGTTGTGGTGGGTGGTTTTGTTTTTGTTTGGGGAAACCCTTTATTCCTTGTCTTACTTGTACTGGTGAGCCCCTTGATTATTTTTTCCCCCTGACCTTATTTTCTGGCTCCAAGCTTGTATGTAGACGTCGGGGATTTTGAGTCATGTTAGGCTCAGAGCTCAGCAAATAAATAAATAACCTCAAATGTTTTAATCCTAAGGCCTGTGAAATGTGTTGCTTAGGGGGTGGGGGACTTAGCCCCTTTTCCCGTAAACCTAGACACTTGTACAAGTCTCTTGACTGACGGATCCGTCTGTGGGTCACTGCACGGACATTCCTACACGCCCCAACCAGCACCCTAGAAGTCACAGAGCTTCGGTTCAGGAGCTTCCTGGCAGAGAAACAACTTGCCTTTTAATGATTTCCCGGATGATGTGTTGGCTCCTCCACACTACGTCCCTTATAGGGAGGGATTTCTTTTTATTCTTTTTTTTTTTTTTTTTTGTAAATCGAAGTGCAGCAGAAGCTCGGTAATGTTTATGAATGGACAGGCCTGCCTTTGACCCTTTAGACGCTAGTAAAAAAGGAAGACATGATCAGATTGCAAAACAAAACAACCGCATGCCCAGGCTGACGGAGCTTGGTACCAGGGCCCTAGGCATGATCAGAGACAATGTCTGCCCTCTTCTGATTTGAAGGGGACGAAGAATATGTGCCCACTTTGGGCATGAGAATCATATTGAACTGAAAAGTTGAGATCCTGAAATTTTTTCTGTCTCAAAGTAGAATCTGCAAAAGAAAAAGTCAGCATTTTATTCCGTTTGCTGAAAATTACCCCCCCCCCCAAGGGGGATTGGGCAACGCCATTTTTCTCTTTTCAAAGATGAGACCTTAGGTCATTCCTAAGAGACATTGTCTCTGGACTATCCTGTCCCCATCTATTCTCCTAAGGGATATTTATTTTCCCAAAAAGTCATTTGAGTTTTCCGTGTGTCCCTTCTTCCTTTCCCTGTCCCCTCCAAGGACCCTGAATTCTGCCCACCCCTTTTGAATCACTCATCTCTTGAGAATTCCCAGATCTCTGCTCAATGCATGTATTTTAAAGAAAACAACATATTTAAAAGAAAACAACTTCTTTTGACTGTTTTTGTAAGATTCAGATCCAACAAGAAACTATGAAAATTAAAAAATCCTGCAATTTTTTTTTAAAAAAAAGCTCTTAAAATATCTGTTAGCATTTATGCGGGTCTCATGAGGATAGCTATTGGAATAAAACAACAACACTTTATATAGCTCTGAAATATTGTAACACATTACTAGATTCTAGAACATTCCGGAGAAATATACTAAGTTGTTGTCTATAGGCAGTGCCTGTGACTGACCAGTAGGAAGACCTGCGCTGATTTCCATTCTCCTTAAGGATGCCGGAGGCACTGGTCCATCTAAACATGGAGTAAGGTAAGAAACCCAAATTCCTGTGATTTCTTATTTTGGTCTTGGGTTGCAGACCAGACAAAATAAAAGCAAATCAGGTATACAGCCTGAGCAGCTCACAGATCAAAACTTAAATAGTCCCAGTTGGTGTTCCATTATAACTCCAGAGGTACTTGAACCCAAACCCAAAACTTAATCGATACTTCTTTATTAAAAACAAACACAAGTACATATAAAATACCATGTTCCCAAGAGTTCATTTACTTAAATTTTCCGTTTGCTTACTTGTATGGAAAAGCTTCTTGTACCCACACCAGTTAATAAAACTCCAGTTCTCAGCCTCTCAAGTTCAGGCCCTTGTCTTTGTTTTGTTTTGAGATAGTTCTCACTATGTACCTCTCAGAATTAACTCATATGTAGACCAGGTTTGCCTGGAATGCACAGAGATCCACCTGCCTCTGCCTCCTGAGTGCTGGAATTAAAGGTGTGTCCCTTTACACCCTGATTGGCCCCCTTTTTTTTTTTTTTTTTTTGCTAAACTTTAATGAAAAATCTCAAGACTCTTCTGAGAACTAGTTCCTCTGTCCCACAACTGCAGAGAAACAGTTTCTTCCGTATCATAACCCCTTCTGGTAGACTGGATCCAGAACTTCACATGAACATTGTTCTGGAGTCCAGTGTGAGGACCAAGCACACCTCATCGAGTCCGACTCTGAACTAAAGGCAATCCATAGGGGAAGGGATAAAAGCTAAGCTTCCCGAGGCACCAATGATTATTGTATTTTAGGAAGTGGTCCTGACAATCTTTAAACTTTTACTTTTTAGTTCTAATTTCTTGCCTTAGAATTCACGTTCACAGTGGTGTCCCTGTTTCTGGAAAATAGAAAACTCTTACAAGCATAATTTTAAAAGTTACTCAGGGGAAGACTTTTGGGATTTTATTGTCTATTAAATAAAGTAAACATTACAACTCTTGGACTATATTTTATTTTATTTATTTTTTGGTTTTTCGAGACAGGGTTTCTCTGTGGCTTTGGAGCCTGTCCTGGAACTAGCTCTGTAGACCAGGCTGGTCTCGAACTCCCAGAGATCCGCCTGCCTCTGCCTCCCGAGTGCTGGGATTAAAGGCGTGCGCCACCATTGCCCGGCCTGGACTCTATATTTTAAACAGCAACGTTCTCTTACCCTCGAAGGATTCAGTCCAAGAACCCCAGCCAATGGCTAAGCATACAGATGATGCTGCACATCACATGTATAGCCCCATATGTTTCTCTATAGTATATGCTTATGATAACCTTAACTTACAAATTAGGCTCTGTAACTAGATCAAAAGCCATAATAGTAAAACAGAACAATGATGATCACATTCTTCAGTAAAAAGCTCGCACTTTGGAGTCCTTATTGCACAAGATCAAGGTTACCTGAACACAAGCACTTGATGCCTTGGCAGATCTGATAATGGAGGCTGCTACAAACTGATTAATTTGTGCTTAGTGGGCATGTGCCGGACAAGGGTGCAATTTTTGTTCCAGGTGAGAAGGTATAAGATTTCATCAGTATCCTAGGAGTAGGCATGCAATGTAAAACTCCTGACTTTTATTCTGGAACTTTTCACCTGATATCACGCAAACACTGTGGAAGGCAGAAATCAAAACCTCAGGAAAAGGGCATCAGCGTATGGAGTTTGAGAATCTCTCTGATTTAGATGAAGCCACCTATACATTGTGCTTGAATGCATACATCGAAGAAAATCTCACAATATGTCAGCAGCTGGGTGGGCAGTATCCAGATTCTACGGGGCGGCTTCTCCTCCAGATAGGAGAGGTCATCAGAGAAGTATGAGATGTCTAGATGGTTAGTCTGCATAACAGGAAAATGTTGCTGTGTTCAAAGCTTTACTGACTGACCCATCTCACTGACCTGAGAACTACCTTTAAACAGCGCTGCTGTCTATTCTTAAACCGTTGTTAGAAAATGACCACAGGGAGGGGTAACAGTTTGCATCAGTGGTACTTGGTGCCCCATTTTAAAGGTTGCTTCTGCTTGTAAGGGATTCTTAAAGAAATTCATTAAGCTACCAAATTTCTACATGTACTTAGTGTTTTGGAAACCCCTTAAAATCAATTGCACCATCAAGGCAAGTTTTAAATAGCTTGGGCCACTTTTTCTTTTTAGGTTTGAGTTTTCAGAAGGATTGTGCTTTTCCTTTTCTTTCTTTCTTTCTTTCTTTCTTTCTTTCTTTCTTTCTTTTTTTGTTTTGTTTTTGATTTTTGGTTTTTGGAGACAGGGTTTCTCTGTAATTTGGAGCCTGTCCTGGAACTAGCTCCTGTAGACCAGGCTGGTCTCGAACTCATAAAGATCCACCTGCCTCTGCCTCCCGAGTGCTGTGATTAAAGGCGTGCGCACCACCACCGCCCGGCGCTTTTTCGAAATAAAAAAAAAAATCAGACATGCTATTAAAAGTTTTATATTAGTTAGCACATCTGCATATAACCATTATAACATGCACTTTCCAAAACATGTCAAATAGCTGTAAGGTTAAAAAAAAACTTCACTCTTCTTGGGAAGAATATAATAAAACATTTAATCTTTGTGGATGAAAATATGTTAGCACCTTAGTCATCAATAAATAAATCTTTGATTTGAAAGTTATTTTAACGTGTTACTTGGATGAAAAGGGCTTGGTTATTTAGTAACTATTGTCTACTAGAAAGGGGTTATTAACACTTTCTAATCTTATCCTTCTCTGAAATATACTCATTTCATCTGCAGGACTTAATAGGTCTTTAATGTAGGGATGAGGACGGTGCACACTAGAGAGGAGGGAAAGCGGGGGGAGGGGCGGCAAACAGAACGTGGGTGTGTGGCTAATGTAGGCCAGCTTTGGTCGGGTTTAGAAGCAGATAAAAATGTAAGTTTGAATTTAGTTCCTTTCACCATATATTGCGTTGTCATTCTTCAGCTACGGTTATAAAGGCTTCCAAACCGCGGGACACAGTGCCAAACGCTAAATAAACGCTAACTCTGGCAGAAGAATTACAGTAACTGGGGACTTGCAACAAACTGAATCGCAGTGTAGGAAAGGGGCAAGCTTGTTTCCGAGGGAACCTCTTACAGCTCACAGTGCGCGGAACACTATACACTGCTTTCAGAAAAGTTACATCAACTGAAAAGAACCATCTTTTCAAAACACTCCGTGGTCCTCAAATTCAGGAAGAAGGAATCAGGGAAAAAGGGATAGTGTAACCATCTTGCGATTCTTAGGATCGAATTCTACCCAATCAGACTCCAAGTCCACAAACTCCTGTTTTTCTGGTCCAATCAAGACGAAGATAAGTCTATAAATATGGCCGCTAGGCGCCTGCAAGCCAAAGGCGTATAAAACATGGCTCGCACGAAGCAGACCGCCCGCAAGTCCACCGGCGGCAAGGCCCCGCGCAAGCAGCTGGCCACCAAGGCCGCCCGCAAGAGCGCGCCGGCCACGGGCGGCGTGAAGAAGCCGCACCGCTACCGGCCCGGCACCGTGGCGCTGCGCGAGATCCGGCGCTACCAGAAGTCGACCGAGCTGCTGATCCGCAAGCTGCCGTTCCAGCGCCTGGTGCGCGAGATCGCGCAGGACTTCAAGACCGACCTGCGTTTCCAGAGCTCGGCCGTCATGGCGCTGCAGGAGGCGAGCGAGGCCTACCTGGTGGGGCTGTTCGAGGACACGAACCTGTGCGCCATCCACGCCAAGCGCGTCACCATCATGCCCAAGGACATCCAGCTGGCCCGCCGCATCCGCGGGGAGCGGGCCTGAACTGCCTTTCCAGAAAGTCGACTTAAAAAGGCTCTTTTCAGAGCCACCTACGTTCTCATAAGAGTAGCTGTGCCAACTTTGCACTCGGGATCAGGAGAGTCCTGAACCCCAAGTTTCAAGCATATTCCCAAATGGCACACCTAGCATCTGCAAGCGACCCCAAGTCAGATAGACCTGTCGTATCCCCCGCCCCACACGTTTGTTCGGTTTGGGTAGGCCAAACCCAGGAAGAATTGTTGGGGGGAAACATGAGCCGAGCTAATCAGTGAATCTCAACCACCAATCATGACGGACCAGAAGGGTTAACTTGTCTAACCTGGTGCTTACGAACTCGCCAATGAAAGGCAGGTAAAGAACAGGTGAAGGGGAGCTGCAGCTCATTTACCGGCCAGCATGAAATGCAGGGCTGCGATTGGTTAGGAAGTCTTTCCTCTCATCACCACCAAGGCGCGCAGCCAGAATCTATTTGCGTAGGCTCCGCCTCCTTGACGGTAACGCTAGTGTAAAGTAGCCAATAAAAGCGTCGTGCTGAAAGAGCCCTCATTTGCATACAAGCTCTATAAGTAGCGCATAACCAGCCGTCCTGCAACAGTCCGTCTTCGCCTCTTCCATTTTGTGGTGTTTCTTTGAACGTGGAGGAAAATGCCGGACCCGGCCAAATCTGCTCCTGCTCCAAAGAAGGGCTCGAAAAAAGCTGTCACAAAAGTCCAGAAGAAAGACGGCAAGAAGCGCAAGCGCAGCCGTAAGGAGAGCTACTCTGTCTACGTGTACAAGGTGCTCAAGCAAGTGCATCCGGACACGGGAATTTCGTCCAAAGCCATGGGCATCATGAACTCCTTCGTGAACGACATCTTCGAGCGCATCGCTGGCGAGGCTTCCCGCTTGGCGCATTACAACAAGCGTTCGACCATCACTTCCCGGGAGATCCAGACGGCCGTGCGCCTGCTGTTGCCTGGGGAGCTGGCCAAGCACGCCGTGTCGGAGGGCACCAAGGCCGTCACCAAGTACACCAGCTCCAAGTGAAGCGCAGCCGAGACGTGATTGATCGACTTTACCCCAAAGGCTCTTTTCAGAGCCACTTCAGCTCTCGAAGAAAGAGCTGTAACCACTAATGGCCTATGATTTCTTAGGTAAGGTGGGGCGGCAAATCTGTCTCCCTGCAGGGCTCTGGTGCAACACACCGACATTTCAAAGAATGTTGGGCGGGCCGGGTGCGGCGCAGCCTGTCGCATCACGTACATGGTACACAATGTATTCCCTTTTAGCGTAGTGTATTCCCTTTTAGCTGCTGCTTTAGTGTGAGCCTCCCTCAAGTGGACCTCAACAGTTCGTCACTTCAAAGCTGTAGTCCCTCACAGCCCTGGTGCATCCGGAAATAATCGGGTCTGCTTAGCTCATAATATGGGGACAGTTCTTGTCATCACGCAGTTCCAATGCCGCTGAGCAGGAAGAGAAACTGTTCCTACCCAGTTTAGTTTATTGTGGGTTGTTAAAATTGAATGTCCCGTAGACTAAGTTATAAGCATGTATAGAAGTCAAGTGCTGGAGTCTCGTCCACCCCCTTGTGGTTCGGGGCGGCGGGAGTGGGGCGAGAGAAGATTGGGTGCAAGTCCTGCCTGCTGCGCCATTTCGCTGCCCGACTCCACGCGTGTTTTTAACGTCAGCATCAGCCCTAGGTGCCGTTTTCACAGCAGGCTTTTCTGTGAGCGCCAACCGTGGACAGCGAGAATGAGCTTAGTCCTCCTAACCCTCACCAAGGACTGGATGCTCTTCAGGAAGGTTTTCTTTTTCTCTGATTCTCTTCCTGTCAAAGTGAGACGATCGAGCCCTTTCTAGTGGGTTAGGGTTAAGTGGTTCCACTTAAAGCTGGAACCAGGTAAGTCGTCATCAGTGGGTCGGGGGTAGGAAGCAGTGCAGGAGCCATTGCGCCTCCAGCACTTCCCTTTCCCAACAAGTTCTCTTGTAGATATTTTAGCGCTCTAAAGTAGCTTCCCTAAGCATAGTGCATTGAACTCCTTGCTGAATAAATCATCTTTCCAATAAGGCTTCTAGGCCTCTTGCAGGACGTGATTCTGTAGAAACTAAAATTATCTCTTACGTGGCCTAATAGGGGAAAGTGGGTTTTACAATTTGATGGTGGCTCATGCCTTTAATCCTAGCTCTCTAGAGGACAGCTTCATATGTAGGCCAGCCCTAGTGAGACCCGGTCTACATAGTCTTTGGCAAGTTTTTGGTAATAACTTCCAATCAAATGATGGTGTAAACTGGGCAGTGGTGGCACAAGCCTTTAATCCCAGCACTCGGGAGGCAGAGGCAGGTGGATCTCTGTGAGTTTGAGACCAGCCTGGTCTACAAGAGCTAGTTCCAGGACAGGCTCCAAAACCACAGAGAAACCCTGTCTCGAAAAACCAAGGAAAAAAAAAAAAAAAAAAAAAGAGTACTCCTATCAAACACTCCCTGCTTTCACACAAAAGAGAGCCAGGGAAAAGAAAGCACCTACAGCTCATCTCCACTATTGTCTCTGATACAAGTCATTTCATCCAGCTAGGCTACTTAGGCAAACTTAATAAACAGGAAAAAGGTGTGCTAATGAATGTATGTATGCATGAACAATGGGGTTAGGCCAACCAAAGGGCTAACCTTGTGTTCTGCCTTGTGTTTTGAGGTTTCTGCACTATGAAAATCTGAAGGATTTGCTTGTCAATTCCTTAGTTGGGGTTTTTATTTTCTCTGAGTCATTTTAAGGATCGAAACTCTGATTGCCACATTTTCATACTGGTTTCCAAACAGTTAGGTGCTAGAAATTACCTTCTGCCCTCTTCGTGCTCAAACCCAGAAATGCAGTAAATACATAGGATTTTTACAAGATTAGTAGGAGAGCTCATCACAGTAAGATGTGAATTCCAATCATTTGCCTACAGAAAAGGGATAATTTTCCCTTTAAAAAGTTTATCTTCTTTGTGATGGTTGGAATGTGTTTATAAAGGACCATAACTGTCACAACTAAGCAATCTTTCTGGCTCAGTTCGTTCTGAGGAGAAAGTTAAGTTGCATAGACTATAAAGACAGAGCAAAACTAAGAAACTAACCAATCTTCCTAGCATGAAGAAATGATGTTTGCCTGACGTGGTGACACACACCTTTAATCCCAGCACTCAGGGCAGAAGCAGGCTGGTCTCTATGTGTTCGAGGCCAGCTTGGTCTATGTAGGGTTTTTAGGCTAGGCAAGTCTACATAGTGACATCCCTACCTCAAAAACAAAACTTGGGCTGGGCGGTGGTGGCACACATCTTTAATCCCAGCACTCGGGAGGCAGAGGCAGGCGGATCTCTGTGAGTTCGAGGCCAGCCTGGTCTACAAGAGCTAGTTCTGGGACAGGCACCAAAGCTACAGAGAAACCCTGCCTTGAAAAACAAAACAAAACAAAACAAAACAAAAAGAATTATATTTGAGATGGTAAGCGTTGATGGAGTCCCTCAGATTCATTAGCCATGTACAATTTGGGGACGTTGACAAAACCACATGTGTAGACCAAAGTTGGTGTAGATGTGGAAGGGTAATTCCTAAAACCTCTGGGTGTGCGAGTGTACCATGTGTATACTACTGCAACAAGCCAGTTGCTGTGTGACTTACTCTGAGGTCACACAGATTGGGGATGTTTCCCACTTAACATTGAGAATAATAGTAATATTTATACAATCTTCAGTAAGTGATCATGGTGACTGAAACCTCCTTTGTGGATATAAGAATTTTGGAAAACCTATCTCATAAGACTAAATCATAACTCATACCTACAACTATATTATATCCAAAGTTTACATTATTTTCAAATTCACACAGAACATTGACCAAAAGTGGTCACCACTCTTGGGAAACTAAAATTATAAAGGACACACTCGCTGACACAAAATAAAACAAGCGATGCTCTACAGAGAAGTCTGCAGGTCCAAAGGAATTGCAAAATAAAAACTGCACAGTCTTCTGAACAACAATGGGATCACTGTGTGCTTGAATCTCCGCAGGAAGCAGGGCGTAAATCACAGGTTTAGAGGATTGAAGGAAGGCAGGTATGGTGCAGGCCTCCAACCCAGCGCTCAGGAGGCAGAGGCAGGTGAAAAGGATGGACTTAAGGGAAAGAGGGAACAAGAGAAACTCTTAACTGAAAGGAGAATAGAAAGCGTTAAATCTGAGCAGGAGCAGAATCCTTAGGACAGCAAAGATTACCCTAGTCTACCAAGACTGAACTAACCAGTAAGACCAGACTGTTCCCGACAGGGCTCTATAGCTCAGCATTGAAGAGCTAGGGACATAGCGAATGGCGTTTTAGATGCGGAAGATGTGTTAAATGCTATATGCTTGGGGCTTGGGCTCTGTTTTGTTGTTTTTATTATGGGTTTGAGTGTTTTGCCTGTATGTATGTTTTATATATGTTCACTACAGTCATTCCTGGAGCCAGGGAGTTCAGAAGAGAGTGCCAGGTCTCCTGGAACCAGAGTTACAGATGACTGAGTTACAGATGTGTGGTTGCTGGGGACTGAACCCGGGTCTTCTGTAGGAGCCACCAACTGCTTTTAATCACTACGCCACTTGTCCAGTTCATTGGTGTTTGGTTTTGATTAATGTAGCAGGCCCCCAGACCTTAGCACAACTGACTCAGTGATGGAAATGCTCTTCGGGCCATGAAACTCAGCTCATAGACAGTACTGCGTGTCAAAATGAAAGCAAAGACCTAGGCCATCGAAGTCCATAGTTCTGGGAAAGTCTCACAATGTGCAAGCCTTGCTTTTCGGCGTCTGTAGTTCTGCTTCTAGCTAATTGTTCTTGTTAACTGAAGTATATCAATGGAGAATATGATTTTTGTGCTTAAAAGTTCAGCCTCTAAAGGCTCAGTGCTAAGTTTAGTTGCTGGCTGGCTAATAAAGGCTGCCATTTGACTTCAGCCACGTGTGAGCAGTGTTCTCTGACAGCTACCCCACAATAACAACAAGGTAAATTGCTCAGACCAATCTCAAAATCTCAGTCTTTCTGCCTTAGCCTTTTAAATGTAGAATTACAAACCTGCATCACCATGCCTAAAGTAGTTTCATGAAAAGGAGCTGGTCTGAATTAAACAAAAGAAACTGGGGCTGGAGAGATGACTCACCTTTAAAGCACCAGTTGCTCGTCCAGAGGATAAAGGTTTTGGATTCCTGGCATGCACATGGCCACTCACAGCTGTTAGTGTTTCTAGCTCCAGGGGATCGGACACCCTCTTCTGGCCTCCTCAGGTACTGCACACACATGGGGCGGATACACACGCAGGTCAAACTTCCATACACATAAAAGGAAAGAAATAAGTCCTACAATAAATGCATATGTTTTGGAGAAGCTGAAAAGATAGTCAAAGATCTAATTCCAGCAGAATGAGAGAATTAAGAACAAGAAGTTGCAGGTAAAAGAGCTATGAACTCTAGAGTTAAAATCTGATTTCTGTCTTAGGACTAAACCCTGGAAAGTCTCAGGATATGACTCAGTTAAAGTTAGAAATTGTGATTTTTTTTTAAAAAATAAGTGTGGTGCTTATAAGCCATGAAATGCTTATTCATTCGACTGTGTCTTTCCAGTGGGCCCTCAAAGTCATAGCTGAGACCAGGTCATTGCTAGTCAGTAAACATTACATATGAGAAATTTATGTTTATTTTCCCAGAAGGCCTCAGTTAACTATTGCTGGTCTTCTTTACCTCCCATGAACATATGTTCCCTCTTCATAAGTTTTAACCTTCGTAAGTCTAAATGGCTAGGTAGTGTGTCCTCTGTGTAACGGTAAGAAGGGAAGGCAAGATGCAGAAGAGCAAACAATTTCACTGGCTGTGAGTTTTGTACTAACCACACTAATCAACCTGTATTATACTCAATGAACTTTTTTTTTTCTTTTTTGAGACAGGGTCTCATGCTTTCCAGGCGGGCCTCAAACTCCTTAAGTATTGAGGGTGACCTTGCCTTTCTGATCCTCCTGCCTCATCTCCTGAATGCTGGAATTCCAGGCATGTGTCTCTATGTTTGGTGTTATGCCATACTGATGATTAAACATGCGGCTTCATGCACACTGGGCAAGCACCCTACGGGAGCTACATCTCCAGTACTCCCCAAACCTGAAAGATCTCACGGAGTTCCAGACATACTAGTGTTTGGAGGAGGGTATTGAAGCGGGGAGTAGGGAGGGAGGAAGTAGAATCTTGCTTTTCATTGCCAGCCTTAATTACCTGAAGATTGGGTTTTAATTACAGTTATAAGACGTAGCCATTGCTGAAGGTTCATACACAAAGGAAAGATGTAGGCATGGGCCTAACAATGCTCCTAGAAGCAAAGATCTAGCACCACCTAAGACAGAGACAATGGCAGAAGTGGAGATTGTGCCTTGTCATGTTAGGAAAGTCAACATCTTCATGCCTGCCTGCCTTCTTTGACCCCCACAGAAACACAGGTGCTCAGAGTTTAATACATTCCTTCTCCATATTAAATATTCTCATGAAAACTGGGTGTGCTTTCCAATCTAAGACTTCCCTTCCCCTCCCCAGCAGTTTCTTATCAAATACCCCCTATTTTATTTATATTTTTGTGGTCTTTTGGGTGACAGGATCCCCCTATTAGAAAGCTCTGGCTGTTCTATACAGCAGGCTGGCCTTGACCTCCCTGAGATCACTCCCAGGTGCTGGGATTAAAGGTGTGTGCATCTCTAGCCGCTAAATGTTGCCAACGGAACAGCTTAGACTCCTTCTCTATGCACTTGTCCACTTACACCGACGATGTCACATTTTCTGGTGCCCAACATTCTAGATTCAACAGTAATGCTTAATTTTAATAAGAATCTTAAATAAGGGAATCGGGGTGCACCTCGGTGTGGTGCGTGCCTGCCTAGCCTGTAGAAATTTTGGGTTTCATTCCCAGCGCCCGTCACATGGCCGAGCGCACCATAATCCAGCACTAGGTAAGTGGTCTCTACAGAGCAAGTTCCAGACCAGCCAGGGATACTTGAGACTATGTCTTACAAGAGGGCACCCATGTGGTTGCTGGGAATTGAACTCAGGACCTCTGGAAGAGCAGCTAGTGATCTTAACCACTGAGCCATCTCTCCAGCCCCAAGAATCATAAATAATATATTTATCCAAAATTCTTGCTGCTTTCTCTGCCTTCTGTTCTACCACCTTGCGCCTCGGATCTTTAACTGGAATGTTTAACGTTCTGAGCCGTGACTCCACCACCACCCTTTCCTCATTTCCTGTTAGTGAATCGGAAAGTTGTGTTGACCCTTCCTCCAAAATAGTGTGTATGTGACCTTCCTCAGAAGCTTCACTGCCCCTCTGGTTTCCTACCTCCCTGACTTAGTCTCACCCCTAAAGGCCACCTGCCAGCAGTATCTCCGTTCTTTTGTGTGGTGGCCCACAGTGACTCGGTTTCCAGCTGGAGTCTACTCGCCTGCCCCGGGATCCTTGAGGGCTGTGAGGAAGTTCTGATTAAGCCCATGGGAAAGAACATTTTGCCCCTGAGAAAGAACGCATTATCTACTCAGCCACAGGCCAGTGAGTGCCAGCCCAAGGCACATCCAGATAGAAAAAGAAACTGCTGCTAGTCCCGTGACTGCTGAGACTCTTTGCTCCTCTCTCTCAAGGACAGAGCAGGGAGGCGGTTAACTTATTACGCTGCTCTTCGATCTGTCTTTTGCCTGTAAATAGTATATATTCTGGCTGAGAAATAAACTCGTGGCCATACCATTTCCTTGGCCTCGCGCCCCCTCCAGGTACTCAGGTTGATCTCGCTGGAGCGGTGGTCTCCAACACCTCCCACCCCGCACCTCTTTAGAATCAGTGGGTAGATCTGGGCTAATCGTAGGCTTCTCCTAGGGGACAATCTGTACATTTTGAAGGTACTGAGTAATGGGAGGCCCTGAATGGATTCGGTTACTCCTATTTTACCCGCAAACAATTCTAGAAACCTCTGAGCATTCTGAATGGGCCTAGATACTCCTCCACACCCCAGATGAGTGTGGTTCTCCATAGCAAGCTTGGAAAACGACTACACCTGACTGATCCATCTTGCTAACTGCCTGCTTTGTACGCAGGCTTCGAAGGCCTGGTAAGTCATTACAAGATTAAGCCAAGACCCTCTTGTACTGGTCTAGCGATGAAGACTCCCACCACCTCACCGCACCTCCCCCAAAGGGCAGGCTGGCCCACTCTCCTCCCCACCAACTGCATCAGATCCCTTCGGGATAACTCTTTCTCAGTTCTGGAAACTTCTCATTAGGGATCCACTGGGGTCTCTGCCTGCCCGCTCGCTGGCTCGGCTGACCCAGGTTTCCTTCCTTCCCATAATGCTGGACCCAGCGGGGAGGCGGAGGTCGCAGTCTTCTGCTGGTTCCCTGGCGTCTCCCCCCTGGAACTCGGGGTCTCCCGGCGGCAGCGGCTGCGAGCCCCAAAGGTGGCCACCAGGGGGCGCCATGTGGGGCCTCGAGCGCGCAGATCCGCCTGGCCCGCCGGGCTGGGTAGTTCTGCGGCTGCGCACTCCGGGAGACGACCACCCTTTCGAGCTGCTGCGCTAGCGCGGCTGCTAAGCGAATCATCACCTTAAGCAAGGGCCGCCCGCGAGAGGATGCCCTCACGGTAACCGGGGGGAATCGGACACGCACGACCCTCTTCCTCATGCTACACGTCTGTGCCGTAGCCCAATCTAGATCATTAGCTCCTGACGCCTGGGGGGAAAACAATTAGTCACAAGGTTCCAGTCACGCGATCCCGCTGCGCGTCGGCTGCAATGTACAAAGATGACCACGGGACGGCGCCAGCAAGTCACACCGTCCCCCGAGGGTTTTGTTGTTGTTGTTTTGTTTTGTTTTTGCTTTTCTCTTTTCTGTTACTTTTTAGGAGTCTTGATTGAGTTTATTTTCTGTACCAGCTAAAGAATTAAAAGCAGGAAAAACGTTGTGGGACAGGAAGCAAAAGGGAGAATTTCAGACACAGTAGATAGAATCAACCATTGAAGAAAGGTTTTTATTAGGATGGGGAAAAACACAGCAGGGCACACGGATAGATTGGGGGTGATCTCATAAAGTCGGCCTTGCCTGGAGGGAAGGAGGTTTAAGAATCTTTGAGGGGATGGGCGGTGGTGGCGCACGCCTTTAATCCCAGCATTCAGGAGGCAGAGGCAGGTGGATCTCTGTGAGTTCGAGGCCAGCCTGGTCTACAGAGCTAGTTCCAGGACAGGCTCCAAAGCCACAGAGAAACCCTGTCTCGAAAATCAAAAAA